TTAAATGAGTATAGCGGGTGGATTTTCCCATTACCTGAGACTCCTAATGAGTGTGTGTGTGTGTAGGCATCAGTATGATTTTGATGTGTCTTGCACTGATGTGGGTGTGTGTTGATATGACCAGACAATCATCTGCCTTTAAAAAATATTGACTTAAATTCACTTGCATAACACTAGAAAACATGCTGGTTTTCTTTTTTTAATTATTATTAATTTTGCATATGTTTTGTTCATCATTAGTGGTGCTTGTGATGCAAAGCATAACTTATATTCTTTTGCTTACTTATTATTCTTCTTTTAGACAAAACTTAGGTGTGTGAGTCGTACCTCACCGTTTGTCTTTGACCCATGAATGAGGTGTCAAATCATGTAGCTTATTAAGGAGAGGTGTGCTATGACTTTTATGACTTTTAAGTGATCGGCGGGCAAAAAAACTAGTTGAAAAAGTCCCATAGGCTTAACATTGGAACCAAATTTTGAAGTCATATCTCTGGATCAGAAAGCCATAGAGGCTCAAGGGTGGGCTCTTTTGACAATAAGCAATAAGTAGTGACATAACAACTTCATAGCCACTTGCTAGCAACCAGTTACAGCACCCTAGCAACCATTTCATAAGCATCCATTGAAAAAGGATGAGAGGACTATCTCTGGATCAGAACATCATAGAGAGGATGACTCTTTTGACTCAGACTGGCCAGTAGTCTTCAGATGTCTCCATGGCAACTGTCTAGCAACGCCCTATTTAGAAAACCCTAGCAACTGTGTAACAACATTAACAAGCCATACCATATCTCAACTCTGCAGCATCATACAGACATGGCTCTCTTTTCAGTCACGCAGAACACAGAAGCAGTGCCGAGTCTTGCCTCATTAAGCACTCACATTTTCTTAAGAAAATGTATGTATATACAGTTTCTAATATTATACATCATAGCATCATATGAAGAACATGCTTTCCTCATGTCGAAATCCCAATACAGTGAAAGATTTTCTGTTCATCTGAGCAGAAAAGCGTCAGGAGTGTCTCAGGTCACCATCTCTCTCTTAACGAACTCATCCGTCTCATCTTTTATTATTTATTTATTTTCTCTTTTTTTCTCTGGTCTCTTTCAAACTCACTCCCAAATAGGGTTGTGCGATATATATCGTCTGCGATAATATCGTAATTGTTGTTTTAACGATGTGCGATTTGACATTATCGAGTATTTTGCAAAAACCATTCAAAACATCCCTACAGAGCGCACGCATACATTACGTGAAATCTAGACTAGTGCGCGTGCGCATTTAATTTGCTTGGTAACAGCCCAAATGTCTTATTATTCTAATTCCCTGATTAAATGTAAGAATTTGACTCAAAAGATAATGGACACTTCTAGAAAAAATGGCTTTATAAAGGTAAAAATGCCCATAAAATGCAAAAATCAGTTTACATTTATTGGAAAATATTAATTTCTATCAGTATGAACTGACCACCACACAGAATATGAAGAATATTAAAAACATTAGGAGTCAGCTGTCTTCGGCAGTCCTTAAGATATCAGCACAATAACACACTCAGCAAAATATCGTCTAATTATCGTTATCGATAAAATCCCAGAAAATATCGAGATATAATTTTTTGTCAATATCGCACACCCCTACTCCCAAAACATTATTATTATTATTTTAACTTTATGTACAGACAACAAACAAACAAACAATCAAAAATGGCTTTTTGAATAGTGTCAGTAATAAACATTGAATGAATGAATGATTTGAAACCACAGAATGCTTTTGAGCAGATTTTCAGCTCGGTGTAATTTATTATAATCACAGAGTTGACAGTGTTGACAAAAAGACAGTATTCTTATATATATATATATATATATATATATATATTGAATAAATATTGAAATCTATATGAAGCCCTGAGTTATAGTCTGAGGTGATTACAGTAAAAGAAAGTGAATGTCATGAAACAGAAAATAATTAAATTGTTCTTCATGATTATATTTAAAGGAACATCTTTAAAATATATTATCTGTTGACATTAAAGCTTGCCATTAAAATCTATTTATTATTAATTATATTTTTAAAGAAGCAACTAGTTATTTTTTAAATGTGGTTTTGGCCAGTAGGATTATTATATTATAACACAGTACATACATGATTAAACACTACTCATTTAAAATGTTAAACAGATAATAGACTGACACTTTTGCTCTGTTCTCGATATATTTTTATTATTCACACAGGTCCTTCAAGCCTGACTTTGTCTTGGTGCGACAGCACGCTTATAGCATGGCACAGAATGAAGACTTCCGCAATATAATCATCGGTTTGCAGTATGCCGGGATCCCCAGCGTCAACTCGCTGGAGTCCATTTACAACCTCTGTGACAAGCCATGGGCTGTGAGTAGACATTTCGTTTTGTACAGTGTTTTTCTTTAAAAAAAATTTAAAATCCTGTCAATGTGAGGAGCATTAAAACTTCCTATCGGTTTCTGGGGCTACTTCACAGTGCGACAAGATTGAACATATGCCGTTTTTTTTTTTTTTTGTAAAAAATTGTAGTTGTGTGTTCAGATCAGACCATGTTGTGGCATGGACACTAAAGGACAGTTTTAACGCTTCAAGATCTATTATTTCCAAAATTTGCATCCAGACTGATTCTCTGTTTTCTCCTAGTTTTCTCAACTGATCAGCATCTACAAGAAACTGGGAGCAGATAAATTCCCTCTTGTTGATCAGACATTCTACTCAAACTACAGGGACATGGTAAGTACAAGACAACCTTGCCTTTCATTTCATTTGATTAGAAACAACTATATTTTTTGTACTTTTGTTGTAAAGAACAAAATATTTGACACTTTGGTTATTTGTATACTTTGTATACTATATATTAGTTTATATATATGCAATTTAAACAAAAGTGGTGGTAAATATCACTAAAAGTGGTCCATTGGCTTGTAATAGGGGAACCACTGTAAGTGCTATACAGCACCTTTGTCAAATGGAGCTATGTAGAAACATAAGAGGAACCCCATCCTCCTCATTAGATTTAAGATGTCACTCCACTCTCATATGTTTGCAATGAATGGGAATTTACTACAATGGCAAAAGCTGTTTTGAAGTTTTATGCTTTTCTGAGGTCAAAAAGTCTTGTGGAATATTTCCTTACAGGGGGGCCTTTGGGGCAAAAAGGTTGAGAACCAAGTTATCTTCAGGAAATACACTGTATTTTAATGTTTTTTAATCCTTTCCCAACTAAACTAAGAGAGACTTAGAGAACCTTTAAAGAACTATACAAGGGCTTAACAGGTTCTTTATATGGTAGCAGTGTTGTATAGCACCTCAACCACTCCAAAGAACCGCTGAAGAACCAAATTGGTTTTGTGTGTATTTCGATTAGAAACACTGACAACTTACAGTGCCCTCTACTAATATCGGCACCCTTGGTAAATATGAGCAAATGTGGCTGTGAAAATAAATCTGCATCGTTTATCCTTTTGGTCTTTCATTCAAAAAGTCCACAAAATTATAACCTCTCATTGAAGTAAAACAGCGGAAAGTGGGGGTAAAATCTCATTATGAAATAAATGTTTTTCTCTAGTTCACGTTGGCCACAATTATTGGCACCCAATTATTGCAACGTCCTTTTCCCCAAGATAACAGCTGAGTTTTCTCCTATAATGCCTGATGAGTTTGGAGGAAACTTGAGATCGGAGACCATTCCTTCAGACAGAATCTCTCCAGATCTTTCAGATTCACAGCTCCTTCTCTTCAGACCACCTCACTCATTTTCTATAGGGTTCAGGTCAGGAGACTGAGACGACCACGGCAGAAGCTGCATTTTGTGCTCGGGGACACATTTTTGTGCTGATTTTGATGTTTGTTTTGGATCATTGTCCTGAAGGAAGATCAGGACAATGGTTTAGATTTTTAATCGGTCTAGAATCCATGATGCCATGTATCTGAACAAGATGTCCAGGACCTCCGGCAGAAAAACAGGCCCACAACATTAAAGATCCATCAGTATATTTAACTGTGGGCATGGGCTACTTTTTATCCGTTTGCACCAAACCCATCTGGTATGCTTCCCTGCCAAAAAGCTCAATTTTTTTACTTTTATCTGACCATAGAAGCCCGTCCCGTTGGATGTTTTCTCCTATAATGCCTGATGAGTTTGGAGGAAACTTGAGATCGGAGACCATTCCTTCAGACAGAATCTCTCCAGATCTTTCAGATTCACAGCTCCTTCTCTTCAGACCACCTCACTCATTTTCTATAGGGTTCAGGTCAGGAGACTGAGACAACCACGGCAGAAGCTTCATTTTGTGCTCGGGGACACATTTTTGTGCTGATTTTGATGTTTGTTTTGGATCATTGTCCTGAAGGAAGATCAGGACAATGGTTTAGATTTTTAATCGGTCTAGAATCCATGATGCCATGTATCTGAACAATATGTCCAGGACCTCCAGCAGAAAAATAGGCCCACAACATTAAAGATCCAGCAGTATATTTAACTGTGGGCATGGGCTACTTTTTATCCGTTTGCACCAAACCCATCTGGTATGCTTCCCTGCCAAAAAGCTCAATTTTTATTTACTTTTATCTGACCATAGAAGCCCGTCCCATTGGATGTTCTAGTCGTGTCTGACAACTGAATATCCTGGCGTTTGTTTTTGAATGAGCGAGGAGGATTTTTCTCGAAACCTTCCTGAACAACATGTGATGTAGGGGCTTTTTGATATTTATTTTTTTAGGCTTTCTGACCCCAAGACATGAAAACTAAGTGAAATACAAGCATAAATTGATTGAAATTGGCTGTGGTTCTGTGGAAAGGAACCTTAAAACGCTGCTGTTTGTCATTTTTCCTATTTAACTCAATGCTCATCAGAACAGAAAAGTGGAAAAAACAATGCCAGATGAATGCATTGGATATAAAGCATTGCCACTAAGAACATCCATATTTATATACACATGCTCACATTTCCCACTAAATACACAGACGCTTTTACATGCAAAACGGTTTAATGGTTAATGGCAGATCTCCATGAAAACAGAGTTTTGTATGTATTTGCTGACGGCATTGCAAAGCTTCAGTAAATGATTAAATTCATTTTAAGAATCTAAGCATTCTGAAGAACAAATGCCCAAACTGGCTGATGCACTTGGTCTTCAGGGCGTCATTTTTAGGAGCTTTAGTTACCAATCATTTTTCGCCATCTGCAGAAGCCGTCTCTGCATGGCAGGCACACAGACTGAAGAGCCTCTTCATAAACAACACCGAGGGAATTATTGACTCCTATCAGACACTTTCTTTGAAGCTTCTTGGTCAAACAGGACGCTCCAGTACAGGATGCAATCTGTAGAGATCACAGTTTGAGAGAACACTTCTCAATGCTCATAACACAACAACCTTTACTACAAAAACAACAATAAATCAATATCACTGATAACAGTCGGTGGCTAATGCAAGGGCCCCAAGTATTAATTACAATTACAAGTATGCAAATGCAACACGTTTTTTAGGAATATCTGGAGACTTGAAGCTTGTTTGCCTTTTAGGTCTGCATGGTTGGGTTCTTCTCTACCAAGCATGTTTAATCATAAGAGGTGTTGAGAACTTCCTCTATGGCATCTGGGATGTCCTTGTCAAATTTGTTGATGCATTAAACATGGAAATCTTTTACAATATTTTCTGAAAATGATCTGAGCCCAGGGTTTAAATACGCATTTGACAACACTCAAAATGGCAGAAAACCTTCAGACTATGGTGAATTATTGTAAAAAAAAAAATATGATTTGGATTACCTCACAGACGCAGCCTCTCTGATACATGTTGAGGTTCCCCTTTTGAACGGAGGAGAGTTGGTCCCAAGGCCACATAAAGTCACATAAACCAAAAACAATCACTCCATCCGTGACACTTCCTTAGGTGGAAAAAACAAACATTTTTCTTATGCATCTCTATTTTTTACAGTTAAAGTTTTTTTGACTGTATATACACACAAATTGTTTTGTACCTAGAGACGTCCTCACTTATTGAACCCTCATGCCCCATTGAGATTCATAAGTGTTTTCAGGTTTGAGGTCTTGGACAATGACTCTTTTCTTTGAGGAGTGTAACATCACCGAGGACAATTACGGTTTACTTATGAAAGGTGTCATCAAGTTCTTAAATGTTTTTTGAGCTATTAAAATGGAACATTAGGCTTAATTGATCTGGCTGGAATACACTATAAGACTTTTAATATCTAAACCGATACACTAGGACTGGTTTTGTAAATGGTTACAGAGTAGAAAAAAAAAAAAAATGGATAATATGCTAAAAACTGAGGTTTACAAACTAACAGACTCTGAACTCATCCCAAACACCACAAACTCACACAGAAATGTGTCTTGTTGCTAGGAGACGCATACGTGAAAACTGTGCTCTAAAATCGGCTCAATATCAAACGAGTGATATTTAAGTCTGAAGCTAAAAAACTGAAGTTGAATAATTGAATTCACTGTGATTCTCAATGAAATCGGTCAACTCCGACTGCCCAAAATCTGCAGACTGGCTCCGACTTGCACGGACTCATCCAGACTGCAAATCAGGGCATAACGTGTGAAGTACATTCCAGCCTCAACTGATGTTCACAACCAGTGTGTTCGGTTTCAACTCAAACTCTGCCTTCAGATAGTAAATGATTTTACCTGACAGCAGATACTCGCCGTTGTTCAGAACAGCGCCACATGAAGTTTTAGTTGAGTAGATGACACGAATATCCTTTTTGTTGGAAGGCTTGTACTTCTGGATTTAAAAAAAAATAAATAAATAAATAAAAAAAGAATAGTATTGGCAAATTTTGAATTTGAAAATAATGTGTCAGGTACATTTTCTCACCGTGATAAGTTTGATATTGAATGCAACTAAGTCGGGGTGAGTGCTGGTCACACTTCCAATGAGCTTCGCTCGAATCACTAATAAGTAAAGGAGTCAGATGTGACAAAAACAAAATAAAGGGTTAATTTCATTTTTTTTAAATGTTCCTGGATTACATTACATTGTCCAAAACAAAAACATGTTTATATTTTACATTTGTTCTTTGAGTTTACTTATGTCTATTTTGAACAAGAACAACGCACTGTGGCTTTAATTCAGCGCAAGCAGCGCAGCAAAAATAGACTCGGCGCTGAAGCGATCGCGGCACTGATCTGCGTGCCGTGTGAATACTCCAACCTGTTTAATAAATAAATACATACATAAATAGTGTAACGGCTAATGTTAACGCTTCCGCTTTAGGAGACCAGGGACCGTTTTTATGAATGGATGTCAATGGAGGAGAGGCTTCACTACACTGAATAAACCGCTTTTTACAGGAAACATCATTTAATGAATCTACAGTCTATTGGCTAATCTCCAACAAGTTTTACACTAAACAATACTTTTGTATTGTTGCCGTTTTATAAGAGAGGTCACTGAATTTTTACGACAGGTGGGACACAGCTTACAGCATTTCTCAGTAATTCCTACGAGATCCGTAAACGCCGATTGTGTCGCACAACTCTGACTGAAATTCACCGTTTCTCAATTCCAAGAATGCAGAGAACGGACTTGTCTTCTCGTGGAGACCGGTCTTGCCAGGCTACCTTGAAAGAACGAACTCAGGAGGACGCGAGAACACAGAACGCATCTTTGTGAGAATTGAGATGTTCTGTGATCTTGTAGCTCAACGGACCGTCCCAGAACGCTAGAAGAAGCGAGACACGATAAATAACACATAACAGATCACAAACAGTCAAATTAAAACATTTCAGATTATTATAAACGATACTGTCACAGTATTTATATTATTCTTTTTATATTTTACCATATGCATTTGTAAAATGATTAGGCGTGTATATTTAATGTTAGCAATATTTTGTAAATATTAAAATTATCCATGTTAAAATAAAAAATAATATATATATATAAATAAATAAAAAGTATGACAGGCTTTTTTCCAGGTCTTTATCACTTTATTAAAATAATGCAAACCAAAGTGACAATGTTTACTTTCACAAGCCGTCGCGTATTTACAGGCTTGCAGTCATATTTACAGGCTTTTACAGCGCTCACCCATCTATAGCATATAGGCTAGGGTTCATCGTTTTGAATTTTAGGTTGTACCTAGATGGCGCCAATAGTGTTTAGTTTGCGAACCGGCGTTAAAAGATGATGATGAAACACAAATAGGGTGTAAACATTGTTTTCAGAGGCGTGCTCTGCCCTAAAATTTTGCGTAGGGCCCCCAGAAGTCTAGGATCGGCACTGTTAAAAATGGACACGAGAAAACACGAAAAATAACAATTTCACTATAAAATCAAACAAGTGAGCTGTTCCGTGTTTCACAACCACCATGACATTAAGCGCTGTGAAAAAACGTGTTTTTTAAATTTTAATTACACGAAAACACCTCAATGCCAGTTTTTGCCCAAATTTCAAAGGCTCGTTTAAACGATTAAAACTATAGTTTATATGTATATCTTAATGTTAAGAACTTATCATGCAAACTACACTATACAGCATGTTACATGTGTGTGTGGGACAGTGGAGAACACGACCGCATAGCTGCCCATCTCATAAACCAAAGCACATGAGACAGCTGTCGGAGAACGCCTGAGAAACATGACGGAATGAACTATACTCGTCTGTATTTGCAGCACACAAGCCGCGGCGCAGCTGCGCGCGACAAACGCTGCAGTGTGGAAGCTCAGTGTGCGCGTGCTGCTCCCGCTCTGCTTGCGCATCCAGTGTGAACCCGGTGCAAGGCGAGAATTCTACACAGCATTTTGCATGGCAGAAAGGCGACAGGACAAAAAATAAATAAACATAAAAAGTATTTATTTGCATGCACGAGTGTTCGAACATTTTAGCGACTGTCCCACATACTACATTACTTACAGAGGAACCGCAATGAGATACTACCGTTTAAAAAACAAATACAGCGGCAACGCCAGTATTGGAGCCTTACTACTACCGTATTACCGGTAAACCGTGCAACCCTAGTTACTAGTTACTGCCCAACACTGCTCTCCATAAACCTGATGTGCAGTTTCTTATTTCAAAGCAGCATGCAACCTACAGATTTGTATACTGCACCTATACCCAGACAGCACACATATGTCAGCAAGAGGTCTGTTAAAGGTCGCTTCATCTGGAAAGCATCTGCTGTGAACAAACATCTGATAGACGTCTTTAAGATGTCAGTTTTGCATGCATTCTAAATCACAAACATCTTCTAAACGTCTATTTGACATCTGATAGGAAACGTCCTAGACGTATTGCAGATGTAAATGCAGACATCAAATAGACGCCTAATTAGCTATGCACGTGTTTCACTTACCTATATCAGACTCGCAGAACACCTGTTGAGGGTGTCTCGGAAGACACTTACAGCCCTCGGCCACCTGCTCGTTCAGTCCCGCAGAGAGGAAGAACAGCAGCCCTACAGTCACAGCAGCAGACATGCTCACACTCACAGCACACGATTACACACTACACTCAGGTGTTGCTCAGGTGGAGCTTTCTTTGACACTCTCTGAAGACCTCTACATTGTAGCATCTTATATAGCTCTTATGTCTCCCGCCCATCTGACCTCACCACAGGGTTGCCAGGCCCGCCCAATTACTACTCAAAACTGCAGGATTCCCCTGTTAAAACTCGCATTCCAGGGGCTAAATATCACGTTATTGGGCTCGCTTCAACCCGCGGCAGCAGTGTTAAAGTAGCCTAATTCCGTGGGAAAACCGCGGACTTGGCAACACTGCTCACGAACCTCACCTCAGTTACTACGGTGGCCGAGAGAGCTCAACGCGCGCAACTTTAGGAAAACACGTGCAAATAGAAAACGCACCAGCAGTGAAGCACATGTTGTATCAATGAAAAATTGAAATAAGTCATTTGTGTCAGCGCATACTGAAACATTCAAAAATAAAGTTATTTGTGTGAAAGCATACTGCTGATTATATCATATAATTCACTTAAGTTAATGGTGTTTGTGGTCACAGTTTCATTCGCGGATCCTCAGATACGACTGACTGAGCAATACTGACTAGCCTACAACTTGGATAAGATTCCTAAGTTAATAAGTTTCACACCTACAGCACACATTACAGACATTGATGAACAAACGCGGATATGTTCTACATGTCTACAGTATAAAGAATGAATAAACCAGTCTTATAAACTCCTTGATTTCGCTTAATCAACTTTAAATATAATATGCATGCACAATAAACTATTGTAAAAATGTATTTACATCACTCGACAAAAAGGTTTTTGCAGGTTTTAATAAAATGTAAATTAATAACAGTCATAATAAACAAGCATATTTCCAGTACGCGCCTCAGGCTTACACAGTATCGTCACCTCGCTCATCAGAATCTTCGGTAATCCTCGGCAAACTTCGACAGTTGGTTGAAATGGCTCATTCGGTTCTTGTTGAGTTGGACGTGCTACTTCGGCTGTGCGTCCTGCGTCATCAACCCGAAACTAAAGTTCGATTCAGTTCGATTTGTGAACCGGCTCGACCGGTTACTTCCTGAGAACCGGCTCAAAAGAACGATTCGTTCAAGAACCTAACATCACGACAGCACATTAAGAAAACATCTTCATCAGTTTGACAACACACACGCTGCAAATACTCAACACAACTAAATACAGAAACGTGCTGCAAGTAGTAGGCTATACCACAACGCAAATGTTTCAAGGAGACCCCAACAACACTTACGAAAATTAACCATGGTTTTATTATAGTAAATGTGTAGTAATTATGTTTTTGGCGTTTACCATTTTACCGTCATCGGTTTTTTTTTTTTTTGGTGACTACCATTTGTATAACCACACAAATACCATGGTTAAACTTAGTGCAATTTGTGATTACCATGGTTTAACCATGTTTTCTAAATAGTAAAGCCATGGTTAATTTTAGTTAGGGAAGTTGTAAAAGTAATTTAGCCAGCTTAAAGTTACAGTAGGTGTATTTCGTCAGCTTATTTAGGCTAATAATATCGAGAGAGAAAAAAAAAGAAAAAAAGCTATGGAATCATATGATCAAGATGTTCATGATCCAAAAATCCCAGCCAGCTTCGGCACTTGTTGCGGCTCTCTGTATATTTCCGATGAGGTCTGTGCGTATTTGCAGCGCGTTTCTGTAATTGGTTGTGTTGTGAATAGTTGCAGCGCTTATGTCGTCAAACTGATGAAGATGTTTTGATAATTTGCTGGTGTTTTTCTATTTGCATGTTTTTCGTTTTTTCATTTGCAGAGCTCTCTCGGCCACGGTAACTTACAGTCAGCCAGTGTGGTTCCGCATACTGTATACAAGATTGAGCGATAACAGAATAAAACACTTCAGTAAACCATCATGAGGAATCACATGTTCCTTGATATTTCAAGTAAGAGTACATGGTACTTTGGAAACACACTCCCACATGAAAAAATACTATAGTAATTTATAGTAAATACTACAGTGTTTTTGAACCATACTATCGTAAATTTTATTATACTGTATATATTATAGTATTTACAAGACTTTGTTAATGAATGCTACAGCATACTGTAGTATTAACTATAGTGAACTTATAAACTGTAATAAATACTGTAGTATAGGCTACTTTAGCTTTTATTACAGTAAACTGTAGTGTAGCTTTTGTAGTATAATATACCCTATAGTTGTAGAAAACTTAGTACAGTATTGGGTAAAGTAATTTGTTTATATTACTATAGTTGTTATATTACCACAGCAACTATAGAATTACCACAACAAATTAATTCAAGTACTTTTACTATAGTAGGCTATGGTAACAAGTGTTTCCGAGATTGTTTCATGGGTACAGCGTACCACTTCGCAGTCCTTGCAATGAATGTGTGCATTCGTGGAATGTGTGAACGCAGCTTTCTCCCCCTGTAAAATGAGTGGAGTTTGCATGCTGGATGATTTACTGATTATAGCGCCTACTAATTATAGTATCAAAGGCTTCTGCTACTCAACCACCCATCATATTCTCTTCTTGGGGAGCGGAGTTGAGCTTTATTTTAATGTGAGCCCACCTTTCATAGGGGCACTCCCAAGCTATAATTACTTCCTTGCTGAGTTTGAGCAAAGAAATATCTGCGACCCAAACATGACTACTGTCTTATTGATATTTAGGGATTATATCGAGAAGTCCTGTGATGGTTAAAGCACCAACACTGCTGCTGCTTTTTCTGTCATTTAGGTGTGGTATTCAACCAGGTCTGATAGCTCAGCATTACTGTGATACAGGCAATAGTGCTGGGACTGCCACAACTTTGTTGTCATTAACTGATGATGTTCAAATAGGTCTGGTTGCTCAGTGCGGCTATGACAAATGCCACTTTGCTCTCATTCAAAGAAATGCTGCAGCTCCCGTTACGTTGTTCAAATGAGCACCAAAATGGACACTCGTACATATTGGCCATGGAACTGTGTTATATCAATGGATCTGAATTATGTTTATACTCATGTTCAGACAGCCCCTACACTCTAAAAAATGCTGGGTTAAATATAACCCAGCGCTGGGTTAAAAAGGGACAAACCCAGCTATTGTGTTGTTTTGACCCAGCGGTTGGGGTGTTTTAGTGTGTAATCACAAGTGGTTTCTGACATAGTTTATATGATACCCCTTTTCCACCAAGGCAGTTTGAGTGCTGGTTCGGAGCCAGAGCCTAATTTCAAATCGGTTCTTTGTTTTTCGACAGCCAAAGCACCAGCTCCGAACCAGGAAAAGTGGTTTGTAAGTAGCAACAAACCATTGCTGGTCAAGAAGTAAGAACCGTTTGCGTCAGGGGCTGGGGGAGGGGTTACCGTGACCAACAAGACGAACAGAAACCTTTGACCGCCATTTTTGAAATAGCAGCTAAACACAAACACGTTAAATTCGCCGTGTTTGGATGCCGATGTAGATTCACAAAGCCATGAACATCAATAGCAATGCAACGTCCACCACAGTTGATTGTGTGTTTAAGCTTGTTTGGGCTGCATCAGCACTGCGCGGACCGGTCGAGGTGCCGCGGGAGTGATTGGAAAGCATATGACTTTCTTTATGCTTTTGGATCACTTTTGTGGTGCTTTGTGTCATGCGCCGATCAGTCTGCATGGCGCAATGCATCTAGGAACAAGTCTGTTGTGTTTGGCGCTTCCGCACTAGCATTACTGGGAAAGATGAGACGTATTGAGTAATGTAAGACCTGGCTCTGTGGTGGCTTTCTAGCCCGTGGAAAGGCAAACCGGTTCTTAGAAGGCTCGCCAGTTGAACCAACTCCAAACCGGCAATAGCACTGGCTCTGAACTAGCACCCGGTTCATGCTGGTGGAAAAGGGGTATGAGTAGCATTCTCTAACTGATGTAGCATGTGGGACTGTGGCCTGGTGAATTGCCCTGTGTCAGACACTTGTCTTTTATGTGTTAGGACGGCGACTGTATGCCCTCCATGCTCAAGTATACAGACACTACAACAGCTTGTGACTGTCATATCCATACTAAGGTGGGACCTCTTTTTTCAGTGGGAGGCTCAATCTGGCATCCCAATCCAGATTTACGGGATCTGCATGTCTGGCCGCTTAGTAAAGCTCGCCAGTGTTAGGTACTCTCCCTTAGCGCATGCTGAATATAATTACTGAAGTGAGAGCCCTTTCTACAAAGCACCTTTATGTCCATAAAAGGAGAATCTATGAGAACTGGTGCAACTCAAAGAAGGTGGACCCTGTGAAGTCCCCGATTCCAGTTAATGAGGAATGACATGATGGTCATATTTCTACGAAGAGCGAGACGGTTAAACCCCTTTCGCCCATCCACAATCCCCATTTAGGATTTGGCCTTGGTCCTAAAACCTTTGATGCCATTTGAGGCGCTACAGTCGGCTTCATCAAAAGTGCTCTCTTATGAGACACCACTTACTAGCAGCAGTATCAGTAAAGCGAGTGGGCGATATACACGCTGTTTCAGTTATGAGTTCTGCATGGATTTTGGCCTGGGTGACTGCAGGGTCACTAAAGTCCCTTAGGTGCTCTCAAAGCCATTCAGAGTCCTCTACCAGCTTTTACCCCAAGTGAAGCTGTGATGCGGGAAATCCCCCCTCCACAGCCACTCTATCCCAAGTGCGCTCAATGCGTTTGTGTTGAGTGTACTGGACAGTTAAGGCTCTTTGAGCAGCTCTTTATCTATTGGGTGGCCACACTAAAAGGTTGGTTGTATCAAAGCAGGTGCTATCCCATTGGATTGTGGATGTGATAGCCCTTGCTTATACTGTGGCTCACTCAATGTGAAATGCCTTATAGGTTTTCGAGCCCATTTTACAAGGGGTATGGCCTCCTCCTCCTCAAGGACATTTGCTTTGCAGCAGGATAGGCTTCATAAAATGCCATTGCCAGTTTCTTCAATCAGGATGTTTTTTTGCTAGCTTCTCAGATCCTGTACCGACAGAAGAGCTAGTTTTATGGCCTGTAGCCCATTCAAATTGCTGTTTGCTGTTTGCTGTTATTCCTTGAGCATTATACAGCTGTCCCTTAGAATGTACA